ACTGCATTGTCTGTAGCTTTAAACAATTCTTCCCCTGTACATGAGGTAGGGCATTGTGGACAAGCATACAGGTCCAGATTTGTTTGTTCTGCTCCACAGTCACACAAGATGGAAAATGACTAATTATTAATTCACCATAAGGAGGGAGGGCGATCAGTGAAAACTTAAAGTGGAGGGATTTAATAGGTTTCCAGTTCAACAATTAGGAAATCATATTGGTCATAATTGAGTGGCACGACTTTCTAGATGTATTATTTTTAATTTGGAATGTATATTAAAACCAGTATGAACGTGCAAAAAAATCTTGCAATATAAATACAAATGTTTACGGATCCACCCAAGATGGAATAATAGTACTGTAAAAAGTTTTTGACTTGCCGGGAAATTGAAATATCAGGCAAAATAGAGTTGAAGAAACACCCTTTTCTTCCCTTCTCAGAAATCTTTATTCTCTGTGCCTTTGACTGTCAACCACAAAACTGAGGAATGTATTGTCATGTATGAGTGGAAAGTTACTGGAGTTTGGGAATAGAGTAAAGTGTGTCCTTTCCTGTTACTTTACTGAAATTACCTTGTATCCATAAGGCAACAGAGTTTTAATGTCTTGCATTCTTCCAGAGCACAATACTCACCTTTAGGATATTTATTAAATTTTCTTAGCAGCTTGACCAGACTAGTTGTTTTTCTTATCCTACCCTCCTCCTTTTTCTTCCACCTTCTGTGTTCTTCAAAATTTTAAACTTTAAACACTTGCTATGCCAGTGTAGGGTCTTCTTCCCAGATTGCAGAGTGGAGGGCTGTACTTGGGATAATCTAACTTCTCACTACTCTGCAATGTGTACCACTATTAATATAGGGTGAGTATTTTCTATACAAAATACTTGGGACCACAAGTTGATTTTTTTTTTAGATTCTAAAATATTGGCATTTGCGCATATGTATATCATGAGATCTTAGAGATATGACCCAAGTCTAAACACGAAATTCATTTGTTTCATATACACCTTATACACATAGCCTTAAGCTAATTTTGTGCAATATATTTTTAATTTTGTGCACAAAGCGAAATGTGGATAAATTGAACTACTGAAAAGAAAATCCAGGAAAATCCAGGAATCAGCAAGGGTTTGAAACTGCAAGGCCATTCAATGCTAATCAAGGTAGCCAGTTGCAACATTTACACTTGCCTCAAACAGACAAGAGTTCTTTTTCCCACCCTGGACATTCCACAGATGTATAAACCGCACTTGCCTTGTTTCCAACAGACCTCACAACCTCTGAGGATGCCTGCCATAGATGTGGGTGAAACATTAGGACAGAAGGCTTCTGGAATATGGCCATACAACCTGTAAAACTCACAGCAACCAAGAAAAGTGTCATTTTTCAATCCACCCATGTGGAGAATTTTGCAGTATTTTGGTTTTTGGGAGTGGATAAAGGATGTTCAATTTATATTACAAGTTAGAGCCAGGGCTGGAGTTCATGTCAAGTCTTCAGAATGTGATTTGGAAGATAGGGAATGTGGCATTGAAATTAATAACACTTGGACTGTTACAGTACATATGAATGTTATGGAACAGACCAATTCTCAGATATCTGTGTGAGTGCTTCTAATCTATCTGATGAAATTGAGTGGCAGGGCTTTACCCTGATTGTGCTGGCATTATATTTCTGCCCATTGGCTTCATCTGTTTGTTTCTTTCCTGGATACTTGCCACAGAGCAGTACCCAATGAAGCATCAATCCATAGCCATAACTTTGAGTACTGCTGATTTATAGCAGTGCTCTGTGTACCCATGCCTGTTTGCAAGCCATTGGCTGCAATTCTGTGGGGAGTTTCCAGGAAACTGCAAATACAATAATAATATGGCACAAATACTGTAGCAGTCCTTGGCAAATGTTAGTGCAAGATTGCTGATCCACCACATCAGATAGTTCAAAGAACAATCAATATGTGCTTTCTTCAGTAAGCAGGGCAGTTTTTTGACTGCAGTTCCCTTCTGTTGTACATTTTGGAATGGTTGGTCTGAAGATTGTTAGCAGTGGGCACTCATGAACAACATACATTACTTGCATAGGAATACTTTAGTGTCCTCAGTATCATGGATGTGTGCTTGCTCACAGATATTTAAAACAATCTTGCTAATAATGTTTTTGTTATTAACACTGTGCAACAACAGTTAATAACAAAAGATATCTACTGTAGACAGATATATTTAAAAGGCTGTAAAGTGTAGTAGGGAATTTTCTTGATTATTGAAAAAATAATTTCATTATTTTTAATTTGGAAATCAATTATTTTTGAACAGCAGACTAGAAGTATCTGTAATAAATTTTCATGCCCTTGCTGATATAAATTTAATTATCCTCATGAACACGACTGTGAAAGTCCTTTGTTCTTTTACAATAATGAATTACTACTAATCAAAACTCAAATAATAATCAAGAGTGGATTTTTGGCCTCATTTGACCTTTCTCAAGCAAGCAAAAATAGACATGATGATAGCTTTTGTTTTATTGTGGGGACCCTTGTTGGACAAGCAGAAGTGAATCTTGAAGAAGCAATGAGTAGTGGTTCTTTTATCTGTAAGCACATGTGTCCATCTGATACAAAGTTCACAAGGGTACTTTATGGATTTCTATTATGTATGTAGATTGGTACTTCAGTGGCAATGTTTAGAACTCCCATTAGAGACATGGGACAATACAGACAGATAGCATTTGTGTCATAACAGGCATAGTACTATTGTGAATCTAATACATGATACAGTAAATGCGTTTTTACATTTTTAACGCACTTGCAAGTGAAAAACAATCTGTGATTTGCTATAAGGTGATGTTGTTATGGAAGCTAACCAGTCATATTACCAAAGTATCCCTGTATTCTGATTTTCAGACAGTTTTTAACAGACTTGGAAACATTTTGTAGAAGTATTTTTATGCTCATGTCCTATCCCTTGTTATAGTACAGGCAAATGCTAGCATAGCACAGTAGTATCAGATTATTTTGACATGTAGATTCTTGCATTACATGAAGAAAAAAAAAGCATGGATTGCATATTGTGCTACTTTTCTGCTGTGACTCTGGTGACTCTTTCTGAAAACCACTCTACAAAATATATCAGGGTAGCTTTTTGTTAAAAAGGAATATAATAAAATACAAAATTAACAGAACAAAAGCCAGGTCAAAATTCCAAAGTAAAAGTCCTTATCTTTAAAAAAGAAGAAGAGGGAACAGTAGAATTGAAAGAGCTTCACCTGATTCTAGCCTAGTAACATTTTACATTAGCCAGGTGACCCTCCTTGAAGGACAGAAAAAGCTTACTTTATGCTTTGTGTCTGGGAAAATTGCTGTCACTACTTCCCATGGCCTGGCCTCTGTTGGGTATCATAGGAGCAGGATACACCATGGAATTGTGTATACCAATGCAGAGAAGCGCTGCTGCACCAAAAGAGATGTTGTTTTATTTATCTCAGAGTAGCATAACCTCATAGCAACATTACATTGATCCAATCATAATTGGAGTGCTGCTTTAATTGCTTTAGCCACTTAGTTTCCTTTCAACTTCAAGAGGCACAGAATAAAACATTCTTAAATAGTCTGGGCTGTTACGTTTCTTTTTTCATTCAACGTTGAGAGGAGGTCTAAACAACTGGGGCAAACAAACAAGGTCAGTTGAATACCTCTCCTAGAATTTTGACATCTTCCACATGGCAGCATCATAGAAAAATTGTAAAAAACACAAAAGATAAGTTTGGATCCCTATAGGATCCTATAACTCAGGTGGCAGTGTGGCAAGAAAGAAGTCCTTCAGAACACTTTCTGGAATCTGTTCCCCTGATAGTCAATGGAGCCAATGGAATCGGTTTTCAGATTGAAAAGCTTTTCTAAGAATGTATCATGGGTAATAATGGAGTGTACACACACATTTGGGGCATGGTGGGCTGCAAGGGCTCTTTTGTGGATTTCCCCCACTCAGACAGAGACAGAGAGAGACAGAGAACTAGCAGAATCAAGTGGAATGTTTTCTCTGCTCTGAAACACTTGCTTCATCTTCTATTCATCAATTGTTTCACACATGTGTTTTTAAACACCTGTTTAAGTGTGACCAAGATAATTTTAATGCCAAAGTTAGATTTAAAATTTGTTTTGGATTGATCCAGATAATAATTCCCAGTGATTCTGTAGCAGCCATTTACCCAGGGTTATGTATTCTGGCCATGGCATTACCTGCCAGGGAGGTTCAGGTCATCAATCTGAGTAAAGTTGCTGCTGCCACCTCCAATTTGCCCTTTAGCTGAGGAGGAGGAAAAGGGACACTATATGTTTGTGTGTGTGTGTGAGAGAGAGAGAGAGAGAGAGATCCATTCTCTCAATGACTTCTGATGGAAGATCCCTTTCCCCCATCTCCAACCTATCCAACATATGGCTGTTTGCAAAGTTGCATTGGAATGCATGCACATGTACAAGTTTTGCCAGGTAGCTCCATTGCAAGTGAGATCTCTTCCTTTTGAGTTTATTTTGCACATATGAAAAGGATAACATCACACCAGCAAAAGCAGATAAGTCTTTAGGATACATTTAATTCCATCTGTCCAGCTCCAGCTTGCTGAGGGCAGAGTCCTGTTGCTGGCACAAATGGCACACAAGATGAGCAGTAAATGAAAGACAAGAAAAAAAATTGGCATGGCACATGGGTTTGGCAGCTGCCAAGCTAGGAAGAATTCTCCCCATTCTTTCTTCCTCTTCTTGCTTTTTCCGAGCCTATACTTTTAATTAATATTGCTGCTATCCTCTCTTTTTATATTTTCTCTCCCTTTGATTTCTTTCTCTTTTACTCCTGTACAGCAGGGCATGCCTGCACAGCAGTATAGTACAGGTCAAGTTTGGAATCCTGTTTGCCATCTTGAATGGCAAAGTTGGAAACAATTTGACATTTTGAGTAGTTAATACACCTATCTATTGGTCTCTGAAACTTGGATTTTCTCTTCTTTTCAAGGTATTTAGTGGATAGTCGCTGGTTCAAACAGTGGAAGAAGTATGTTGGATTCGACAGCTGGGACAAATACCAAATGGGAGATCAGAATGTTTACCCTGGTCCTATTGATAATTCTGGACTTCTTAAAGGTAACCAATGACTTTCAAGTGTTTAAAAAAGAAGGACCCTGATGTTTCTCAGTACTATTGTTTATTTTTGTAGTTTCCTCACTTCAAATCAGAAATGTATGTTTTGGTACTGTCCATGTAATGGCTGTGATCCCATCCTTTGTTAATCAGTAGAAAAGGTTATCATCAGTCCCAAAGTCTCTCAAGTTTCAAACTTCATGCAAGTGAAGTGTCTCTCAAAATTCTCCAACAGACTTTTACTATATATGGAGTGAGAAATTCCCGATGTCCCATCTGGGCTCAGAAGAGAAGAGACACTGGAGATCAAATTATCAATATATGTTGGATAATTTTGCACACCAGAGAATTTTAGAAGAGAAACAGCCTATAATTTATAGATTATAGCAGTCTTTGATTAGTAGATCTGGAAAAAATATGAACCACTCTTAAAGAAATGGGTGTACTATAGCATTTGATTATCCTAATGCTTAATTTACACACAGGACAAGAAGACACTGATAGAATGTGAAGGAACAGAGTGGTTTCCATTTGGCAAACGGATCAAGAAAGGCTGTTTTTTTATTACCCTATCTATTGAACTTGTATGTTGAATGTACCATTGTATTTGACACTGTAGAAGGTGAAATGAAAATTGGGGGAAAGAACATCAAAAGATATGCAGATAACATCCTACTTTGTGTTTCATAGATGGAGATTGTCAGTCTCTTAAAGAACATCTCATTGATGAGCTGGACTACATTCTTTTACCAACTGAAGGGTGGAACAAGCTTGTTAGCTGGTATACACTTCTGGAAAGCCAGGAACCAATTGCACGCAAGGTACTGCTTATATTGTTGAAATATATAAGCTGTTTGCATGTATTCTTTGTATAATACTCACATCCAAAGCATAGGAGTAATTTGTATGTGCACTTATCACATTGTGTCATGGTCAAATTAATAAATATAAACAATTGTGTTAAAATTTTGTTTGAATATTAATGATTTGGGGTCAAATCATTAATATGATTGTCATTCTTTCTGAATACTTGCCAGTTTCAGATATGTGAACAGAAGTGTTTCTCTTCATTGATTTGTTTTTTGTTTTTTTGGGATGCAAGAAGTTTTTTGGGGGATGCAAGAAGTGAAAAATGTTGCTTTCTTTCCTTCGGAATAAATAAGTGATCTTAACAGTTTACCAGAATAACTCTCAAGATTACCGTACTTTACTGACATTTGCTTACATACTGTTCACTGATACATGGTATTATTTTCAGGGTAAAATTTTGTTTTGAAAACAAATGAACACCAGCACCAGCCATTTTTAATGTAACTGTATTTTAAATTCATTTTAGGGTATTTGTTGTAATGTTTACTTATTTTTAGTTAACTATGTATTACTGGAATTTTTTTTTTTCATCACAAAGCTTAATTTTTTTGCTGTAAGCTCACTATTATTACTGTTGCTTTATTGTGCATTATTTTGATAGTTTGTACTCCCCTGAAGCATTGAATGCTTGCCTTTTTGCATGTGTAAAGTGCCCTGAGTCCCTTCTGGGAGAGAGGGCGGTGTAGTATTTCTTGGGATTTATACTCAGAATTGTCCTATATACTCATGTATAAGTCAAGCTTGTGTATAAATTAAGGGCAAGTTTTGGGGTAAAAATGACAGATTTTGATATGTCGTGTGGATATGTTGAGGGTCATTCCTCAGAGGGAAAGCACCAATGCTGACAGGGAGGCAAGCAGCCCTGGCCACTGCCAATATTTCCCCATCCAGACATTAAAAATGCCAGAAATCAGGGCTAGAGAACCCCCTCAAAGCATCTGACTGCCCCTCCCATTTTTATTGAATGAAAAAAAAACACACACACAAACATTTTAAGAACTCCTAGGTTTTAATACAGTATTATGAGATGTTGCAAGCTGATTTATGCATGGTTACATAAAACTAAGACCTACTGAGTTTGAAGGTACTTCCTCCTATACATATTGCAAATGTAAACTGGAAGAAAAGAAAAGTCTGTCTTATGCAGCCTCACTGGTACACACAATCTTGGTTTAGTTTGAAACTTCTGATTTAGGACCATATTTGACAATACTCCATACAGTTGTTCGGTCAGCTCCTTAGGCCTCTTCCACACAGCTGAATAAAATCCTACATCTTCTGCTTTGAACTGGAATATATGGCAGTGTGGACTCAGATAACCCAGTTGAAAGCAGATATTGTGGGATTTTCTGCCTTTATATTCTGGGTTATAAGGCTGTGTGGAAGGGCTCCCTATCAAACTTTTTCTAGCACAGGGCTGTTCCTTTGTGGCCTAATGTTTTCTCTTTCAGATTAACAATTCACTGCTTTATGGCTTTTTTTAAAAAAAGGAAAGGGTGGGGCCATGTTGCACAAACAGGCGGAACCCAACAAAGTTTAAAACAGAGCTTTATATTAGGAGCTGAGTGCAGATCTGTCATTATCAGACATCCTCAAAGCAAAAAATGTTTTGAGAGGAATTGAAAGTCGCAATGCTATCAAAATTTGCAGTGTGCTACAGTATTTGCCATTGTCCATATGGAATTCTGCAAATTTTGTGTAGCTTCTGTTGATAAATCCATCCTTTTTCTGCTTCATACAATTTAGCTTTATGTGGTAAGATAAAGACAACACAATGATTCTGCACCATTCTGTTATGAGGTGATGTAAAAATAACGCTACTACCCTTGTGCAGTGGCATTCCCTTTTTCATCTTCTTCTCTTAATTCTAAGATTTCACCTGGCACTGTCAATACACTTTCAAGGGGAGTTTTACAACCACATTATATCATTTAACTTACTCAAATTTATTTTTATAAGTCAGGAACTTGATGGATGGAAAATGAATTCCAAATATAATTTAACAAAAAGGGGAATTAGGTTCTAAAAACAGTGTTTTGAAGAAATAGACAGTCAAGATTCCTAGGATACTGCAATTTGATGCCTTCACTACAAAAGTCCAGTGTAAGCTGCTGTTTATTTATATGCTCTTCTCCTTTAGTGAGTATTCATTAACTATTGCTGTAGCATGACTTCTAGCAGATATTTGGTACCTCCCCCTTCACCATATTTGTCTGATATATCACATATCAGGCTGATGGCTATTTTCAGGACAGTCTACATGGCTGACTTTTACGCAGCTACCGCATACAAGAGCACATGAAGAGGTGAATGTGAATACTCTGCTTACTTTAATTTGCAATTGTTCTTAATTGTTAGTAATTTATGACAAAGGGCAAACTAAAACACATTTTTCTAGATAAAGGTAACATTCAGTATCTCCATTTCAGAAAGTCAGTTAACTTATATGGTAGACTTGATGGTGTATACTCTTTGTGGGTATTTTTTCTTTCCTGATATTTTGTGTTGTTGTCCATTAATATATATATTTAAAAATGACATGATTAGTTAATTTTTAAAATGTTTTTATAATCGATTTACCATGAACTAGCCTTCACGACTATTGAACTAATTGTAAGAAATGAGTCCTGGAAAAAAATCTTAAATTCTATAACAAAAGTTCAGTAATTGAGCTGCTAAAGATTTTGTATTATGCACTTAGGGATTAAATATTTTCTATTCAAATAACCAGTTTTGATCTGTTTATTTTCAGGTAGTTGAACAGGGTATGTTTGTCAAGCACTGCAAAGTAGAAGTATATTTGACAGAATTAAAATTGTGTGAAAATGGAAATATGAACAATGTAGTTACACGGCGATTTAGTAAAGCTGACACAATAGGTATGACCATTGTTATATAATTTATAATTATGATTACTAAATTTATAATACCTTTCAAAGCATTTCCTTGGTCATGTGTTTCCATTAAACATGTTTTATAGTGCCTTCACAATATTAATGATTTTTGTTTGTTAAAAGGTTGCTTAAAATTCCCTCAAACTTTGTACAGTGGGTAAAATAAAAACAAACTGAAATGTAAACATAGTGCATTTTCCCATTATGTTCAATGATTTTTATTTTGTTATAGTCTTAGAAAAATCACTAAACATCAGAATCTACAAGAAAAAATGAAACAATATTAGGCCAGAAATCCTAGCTGTTCTTTCTGAAATGTATACAGTCAGTTTTTTGACACATTGGCTACCTTTATATATTAACAGTAAGCTAGAATTTAGCATCAGGAGGACAACTTTTACAAACCTCAGCAAAGTCTTGGGTTCACATGCTGAGGCTTGTTTCATTAAGTACCTGCTTCATTTCAACTATGAACCAGGAATCAAGAAATTTGAAAGAAAAATTAGGCAGTCTATAAACAAATTAACAGCCTGCTTGGATTGTTTAGTTTGCTAGAATTTCCTTTGTATGTGCTTCTTCCGACTGCATGAAAAAAGAGGGAATGAGGAGACTCATCTTTAGCTTGTGTATGTAAAGCTAAACATTAGTGGAGCATTATGTGTAACTCTATCCATTGAGGTATAGATCATATCCATCCCACTTCCTCTATTCACTCTGTTTAAATTAGTTCAAATGGGTGCAAAATATATTTGATATTTGGCATTGTTTGCCAGTTGCTCTTTTCATACACTGAAATGTACCACGCAGGTGTTTACATTCCGTAACAAGTTAATTATGTAAATCCATCCCTAGTGTATACATGATGCCATTAACAATTAAATAAGATCTTTGTTTCTTCCAACATAGACACAATTGAAAAAGAAATAAGGAAAATCTTCAATATTCCAGATGAAAAAGAGACCAGGTTGTGGAACAAATACATGAGTAACACGTTTGAACCGTTGAATAAACCAGATAGCACCATACAAGATGCTGGCTTGTATCAGGGACAGGTATGGTATGGTGTAATATATAACTATATTTATTGTTTGGGCAGATAGTTTCACTAGTTTTAGTGGCTTATATCAAGACAAGTGTGATATAATATGACATTTGAGATTTTATGACCCTTGTTTATGTTAGTAGTAAATCACATGTTTTCAGTTATGAGACTGCTTAGTAATACTATCTTGTTTTTAAGGTCTGATTAAAGTAGCTTCTTCTGTCAGCTTTACATTTAATTAATTTTCCCCAAAACACATAAACAAGAACCCAGAAAACAGTTTAACTAATGAAATAAAATAAAATTTCTTAAACAACAGCTCATATATTGTTTGTTTTTTGAAATTTAAAAACAGAAGTATCAGTTTGTGAAATACCCCTCCACCTTTAAACTGTGCATCCAGAGAAGCCCTGGACCTCCCTAAACTACAAACCCCAGAATTCTGCAGACGGCATTTAAAGTGGATTAAAGTAGATAAATGCTCAAATGTGATGAGGCACACAATCCAGTTCAAAGCAGAAAATCTAGGATCAGATACTGGACTTTATAGGATAGTGTAGATCCAGACAGAGTCTCTGTTTTATCATCTCCATCCAGCCTTACAGCATCCAGACACTGGTACAGTTTCTGCACAGCCCAAGCTGATGCCAGCAACAAAGAGAACTACAGCTAAATTGACAGGATACTGGTGGTAGCAAAATTCCTGATGACCTACCTCATCCTGTAACTTCATTTAGATCTTAAACAACATGGGGATTGGGTGGAACCTTGTGGCAATGTACAGATTAATAGCCATGGAACTAAGCAGGAATTCCCCAATGTCATTGCCTTGAATTGGCCCTGTACATTGGAGCAAAACCACTGTAACAGTTCTGAGCTATTCTTTTTCTTGAAGGACAGAAGAAAATCTCAGCCGTCCTCAAACTGGTCCCCTCCAGGTGTTTGAATTACAGCTCCAGCGCCCAGCCAGTATGACAAATGGTCAGGGATGGTGACCCTTATAGTTCCAAACACCTGAAGAGCACCAGGTTGGTTTTGTTATTTTAAAAACTTTTTTTACTATTACACAGACTCAGGAAAGTGAATTGAGAGGATAAGAAATAGTGAGTTACATCTAAAAGTTTCTTTTCTCTCTTGGAGGAAGGGTACCATGGATTTCAACCCAATTTTGGTAAGATAATCAGTTTAATTTTGGCTGTTTGGTCATCTGGATTTCTTCAGACGTAAGGAGCCTGACCTAATCACAATGAGCATTTCAGGAGAAGTTTTCAAGATTCAGGATCTGGTTTGGCAGGAGTTTTGAATAGTCTTAAATATATTTAACTATTCTTAAGACAGGAAGTAAAGTTCACTTTAGTGAGAAAGAGACAATATTGGAAGAGCAGTTGTACAATTTGTTACAGCTACATCATCCTCCCTTTTCATTCACTGCGATAAGAAAATTATTCAGTCTGAAAATATGCTAAAAATCTGCTGATGGTTTTGACACTTGAATTATTTATTAATGTCTATTTTTCAGTATAATTATATAAGTAAATTATTGAATATTGATATTCTCTTAAGTAAAACCAGAACCTGAGATTTTAGCTTGTAACTGATATTGTAGCTATAATTCTATGTAGATCGATTTATTAATGTTTCCATCACTATGATTTGAAACTAGAAATGAATGTGTGCTTAACTCTGCTTGTGTATAAAACAAGCAAAGGGTTTTATATCTCTGCAGGGTATAAAATAAAGTAAATAAAAACATAAAATGTAACTGATAACTCAAAGAACAACCACATGTAAAAACAATTAAAAACTGAGTGCAATTTATAAAAGTTAATAATTAGGAAATGAAGACTACTTTGGTAAACAATTGGGAATGTAGCTCAGTAAACACATCTTCACAGTTAAAGTGGAAACTTTCAACACTCAAAACCAGCAGTTCGAAAACATTCAAATATGAGTAGATCAATAGGTACCGCTTTGGTGGGAAGGTAACGGCACTCCATGCAGTCATGCTGGCTACATGACCTAGGACGTGTCTATGGACAACACCAACTCTTTGGCTTAGCAATTGAGATGAGCACCACCCTCCAGAATCGGATATGACTAGACATAATGTCAAGGGGAAACCTTTACTTTTACCTTAGGAGACCTCATTAAACAGTCTGGCCTCTTCAAAGCCTAAGGACCTATATATAACAAATATTATACTAGTCCAAGGTTGTTGGAGCATAAATTACTGTGATAAGGTTCCTCCTGTCAGTGAATGGACATAGCTGTTATTTCACATGAAACAAGTAGTAGGGGTTCTTTGCCACTGAGATCGCTTTGCCATCTAGTGACAAAGAAGGATCCTAAAGCACTAGCAGACTACATATGTGTGCCTGAAGGAAGAATACCACAACATCCTGGATTATTGTATATTGCAGGTCTTGAAATAAGCAAAGTTGTTTGGAAGGAAGTGCTCTTTATAAGTGCTAGTAAGTTTGTTTTTGAGATAGTGATGATTCATGGACACAGGGTACTCCTACGATGACTTTAGATGAGCTAGTTTGAATCACTCATTTAGTAGTTAAACTAGATCAGTAAATTTGGCAGTCAAGAAGGCATATATCTAGCCTAGTCTTGTGGTGGTAATATTTTCTTGTTAAATCAAGTAAAGTACAGGACAGACGGAAAACCTTGACTACATTTGTAGAGTGCATTAACTCTTACAATGCTGACTGGGATACACAGAAGCCAGTAGAGCTCAGATTTTCAGGCGATACTAATCTATCAGTAACCATGATAGATTAGCATCATATTGCTTTTGGCACATACGGCAAAAAGTAGATGAAATAGATTATGTTTCTTGATGACATGAAACCCCCAGCTGAAGTGCTGAAGAATCCCCGGTGCTCTGTCCAATCTTTAAGTTTACTCCTTTCCCTTCTTTACTCATGGCCTACAGATAGGAAAGGGAATAACACAGGAGATTCTGCAAGCTCTATTCTCTTATGAGCTGGATGAAACCTATGGGGAAGAGGCCACCCACCTACCAACAATAGAACAAATTACAGTTTGAAGCATATCAGTGTTATTTTAAATCATGAGCTAATCTGAGATGACTTTAAGACTGAGATAATATCCCTTCTTGTAGTGAAATGTAGTGATAAATAATAGTATGCTAGCATTACTAAAACATAATTTTGTTGCAGGGATAGGAATGACAGCATATGGTAATCACAGAATGGATGAGTGAAAAAAGGAATTATTAAATGGGCAAAGAGGTGTGATCAGTGCTTTTATTTACATTTGTTGGAAGCTGCAGGAATTGTTAGAGAAATAAAGATTTATTTTCAATTTTTTCTGAAAACAAATAAAATGATAATTTTGGTGATTCACATTTTTATTGTTTCCTTAAGGGAAACAAAAGTATATAAAATACTCATTCTTAATTGAGTAGTGTTTGGGGTGGTATGATTGTCTTCAAGATCCTTTTTTACTACCAACATTCTGTAACATTATTCTTGCAAAGTAAATTGTTTGTTCTGATTTCAATTACCAATAGATTACATCCAGAGGTGTGACATAAAAGGAAATGTTTTACTAATATAGCCAACCATGCCTAAATCTTAAACTAACAGAATAATCTTAATGAAAATCTTTCAGTGCTTGTTCTTGTAGGTAATGTGTAGTTGGTAAAGTCTTGAACTTTCATGCCATTCTAATCTCTGATGAAGTTCATTGTTCTCTTTATTTATTTATTTTTCATGTAGGTGTTAGTGATAGAACAAAGAAATGAAGATGGAACATGGCCAAGAGGCCCTTCAGCTCCAAAGTAAGTGATTAAAACCAGCAAGTGTCTCCTGCAACTTTTAAATAAAATCATCCTTCCCCATCCCAGTTGTTCTCTGTGGTTTTGGAAATCATGTGTCTTAACTGTATAATATTAATTGCACTGATTGACAACATAGTCAAGTATGGACAGGCTTACTTCACTGGAAGCAGTATAGGCTGGTTGAATAATTAATTTCTGTGGAGATAACATGTTGTTGTCATTGTAATATTAGGAAATTTCTATAATTTAAAAACTATTATTGTGTTTTGAGAAGACATTTAAGCAGTAACCATTGTGTAATGTTACTCCTTGTCACTTGTATTTGTTGTCCCTCCGTCTTTTTGGCTTGCAATGCTATGATAGCAGTGAATTAGACTAATCCTGTAATGTCTTTATCATACTTGTTGGTAGTGTTCTTTGTCTGTGGGTATGCCAAGAAATGTTAACAACTGCCATAAGATAGTAACATACATAGGAATAAAATATAATAACATTGTATCACAACAGACATATCTGCAATAAGCTACATTTATGACCAAACTATATAAATATTAAACTCTGACAAGGACTGTCTAGATATCTACAAACTTTAAAAATAAATTTCCTTTCCCTGTAGTTAAAGAGATGGCTAACAAGAAGACTTTAGGAAGAGCATTCCATAAATAGGGTTCCATGTTGAGGAAGACTCCGTTCATCACCTTTACCGACTTTAGCTGGGTAGAAGAAGAATAACTGAACAGAGCTCTTCCAAATTAAAGGGATTTGCAGTATCTAACTATGCCCCATATAGTGCACACTTCTACAGTCCAGATGAGAAAGTCATGAATGACTATGGTTGCCAGGTCTTGTCACAAAGTATGGACTTCACCTGACACATCAATTTCATACTACAACGTGTTTCTAGTCTCTGTTGACTCTGTAACATTCAGCATGTATTTCCTTTGAGGGATGTGATTCTCACTCATCAAAGATAAAATAATCGTACCCATTATCTCTTCAGTTATTATCTCTGATCTCTAACAGCAGCCAGAAACTCACTTGAGAAAGCAGTTACCACTCCTGCATCCAATGGAAATTAAAATTATAATTTGAGTCAATCTGCATTTTGATATATACATCAAATTATCTTTCTTGGAAGTTACATAAAGATATTGAAAAGCAGCAACAATAAGAGTTTTGGTTAATTCACAAGTCGCATTGCAGTTTCCACCCATTCATTCCCTTGACATTAGCTTCAAATGTAAGAATGAAACTGGTGTGAAGGTGGACTGTAAGTCTGAACTGATCCAAATGGTCCCAAATGTTTTGGTAGTCTGCAGAAGTATCAAATTTAAATAGAAGTTGAGGCAAATAAGGCATGTAGCGTGCTGCTGTTTAACTCATAAATGCAGGCTGGACACAAGGGTGAAGGCATTTTTTTTTTCTGCCTGAGGCTTGAATCTTCATTTTTTGGGTGTAATCACCGTAACTGACATTTTCCAATAGTTCTGGAGTTGGCTGTTTCCTCTGTTTTGCCACGTCTCAAAACTGGTGAGTAAACAGGCCTGAAGTTCTACTAAGTTTAAATGAAAATGTGGTTTTAAAAACACTTATGTGTGGAGAGTGTTTTCTAAAGTAAATGTTGTATGAAAACCTATACATCTAATCTGTACCAAAATATAATTGTGACTGTAAATTGCTAAATGTGAAAAGTGTAAATGTTTGCATTTATATTTCAAAATAGATCTTGTCTATTATGCCATGTTTATAATTCACAGCCTTACTAGTTAGTATGTGCTAAGATGTTGATAAAGTGTAATAGGAGTTTAAATTGTGTTGTAAAAATTAGGTGATAATGACATGAATTGTCTAAACTAAAACAGACACATTACTTTAGTAGGATTTATTAGAGTGTTAATTCACCATTCGAAAGTTGATTGAATGAATGTAGTCTAATTGGGATTAGAAATACAATTTAGATCTAGGCACACAATTTTTGTACAGAATAAATACCTCATTCAGACCATTTTTGTGACACTTATATTCCATTATTTCACATTTGTGTGATAATAATATTTTAGTTTGCCTATTGAGCAACAATATGCTCTACTTTTACATCTACTTTCCTTGGCAACCACATTATCTTTTTGTCATTTACATAGAATTTTAGGGTTCCTTGTGTGAGTATGTCTAAATTATATCCTTAAATTAAGCCCCATTTCTCAAACTATTACAATGTTACTGTTGTGGAGCTAAATCCGAGGTAACATCCAAGGCCCGCCAATATTTTGATAACAAAATAAGCTCACATATTCCTAAACTATACTCGTCTTCCAATCTTATATGTTAATTTTATATATGTTGTCAAAAGTTGTATATCAATCACTAGCAGGTTGATAAAGTTTCTAGTAAAAATCTTCATTTCTAAAGAAGGAGGCCTTTTAAAGAAAAGGTTGGATGGGCATCTTTCTGGAATGCTGCTCTTGTATTCCCCCATGACAGGAAGTTTCACTAAATGGCCCTTTGGGATACATTCCAATTTTGCAATTCTATAATTCTGTGAAATACATCCTCCAATTGTCACATTTTGCTGAATGGGGAAATGAAAAAGAAATAATGCTGTGAAAAAAATGGAAGAGAGAAGGGATCAGTATCTTTTTAAAATAAATATGTATGGTGCAGAATTTTTTTAAAAAATGCCCAATTGGAATATACATACAGTGTCTTGGTACAATTTCATATGATTGTTCTGTATGTGTAAGTAGAGGTGAGGAGAGCACACCCTAATGGCACATTGCAAGCTTTCAAATTAATTAAAATGTAGAGAACAAAAATATATCTAGATACAGTCAGCTTCCTACATTTGAAAATGGACTTTTGTAGATTAGATAATTCATAGATTTGATTGGAATGTTCTCTCTAAGAATTTCTAGGTTCTCTAATGCAAGGATGCTGATCACAAAGTAACCCTGGAGGACCTAGGAATTTCTAGAGAGGTGTTCTCTCATGTAAAAAATAGCAGTTTTATTATTTGACATTTTTCACTTTTGTGGAGGTCATGTGTCCCTAAAGCCAATAAATGTGGATAGCTGACTATACCCTTCTTAAATAACAGAATGCAGTAAAATATTTCCTTTTATATAGTGATCTGATGATAGTTTATACCAATGTTTCTCAAACTCTACTCCTCCAGGTGTTTTGGACTTCAGTTTCCAGAAATCCCAGCAAGCTTACCAGCTGTTAGTAACTGGAGAAGCACAGTTTGAGAAACTCTGGTTCATACTTTTACTTTAAATAACAATTATATTTCAGCCAAATTTTCTCTTCAGCACAGATCATTTAATTTGAATTTAATCTGTAAGGATTCACTTTTTTTGGCTATACTTTATTATTTCTAAATTAAGATTCTACATTGATTTTGTGATAGCTGGTTTTGGTATTACAATGCATTTGTAGAAAATGTTTCTATAAGACTGTATGCTAAATTGTTCGTTAATTCAATCAGACTAAGATCTAACTCGACGGTGCTAAAGAATGGTATCATATTTGTATCCATTGACCACAATGGCAGGTCTCTGGCAGAAACATTAAATATGTATCATCTCATCCAACTAGAATAAAAACCATACATCTGGGTAGGGGGAGCTTGCAAGCCAATGATCCACCACTGAAAGGGGATCCTGAGAAGTCATCCTACCATCATGATGAGGCAGCAGCCATAGTTCTCCTCCCGCATTGCCACCAATACGTCAGGCAGCTGGCTTGTCTGTCGTGATTTTGTATTCTGTAAAATTTTGAGACAGCCTAAACGTTTTTCTGTGTGCATCCACACACACACAACCCATATTACATGTTTGAATGAGTGTCTTCTGTATTTAAGATCAAAAATTTATAAAATTATAATTATTTGCAATCCTGCACATTTTTATTTGATAATCAGTTTCATTAAATATTGTGCTTTCCCCCCTAAGTGAACATATACATTATTTGCACTGGTTGTTGGGAGGAGCATCTATTGTTAAAAGAGTCAAATACTTATGGCAATTTACCCAGTCATGTAAATACTTACCAGTAGATTCTGCCCACATCTGGACAAGACATAAGAATTATGCAAGTTAATAAAATAGACTTTGTTTCATTTTGTCACTACTGTAGATTGTCTGGACTACATAGGGGCACTTCAAAGGCCGGACAAGCAATCTAATAGTGTCCAATATTAGTAGAAGTATTTTAGGCTGCTTTTAGTTGAAATGAAGTGGTTGATTTATCAGCCTTGAAAATAGCTGTAAATTTCTTATTAAAATAAACCTGGGAATGTGAAATACATTGTTGACTGGACTCCCATTCAAAAGCTTTACAGTATCATTGAAGGAACGAGATCAAGGAATTTGTTTGATTTGTTTTTCTCAAAACAAAAAGAAACCTGTTCTCATTGAGCACTCCAAATTGCTTCAGAGGTGGAAGGGTATTTCTAGAGCACATTAGAACAGTGGTTCTCAACCTGTAGGTCCCCAAATGTGTTTGGCCTCCAACTCCCAGAAATCCTAACAGCTGGTAAACTGGCTGAGGTGTCTGAGGGTTGTAGACCAAAATACCTGGGGACCCACAGGTTGAGAACCACTGCATTAGAAGACAGCATAGGTGCAGGGACTGGCAAATCAAAAATTCTACTAAGTGTTTCTATCTCTTGTAGGAACTGAAGCAGCTCCTTCTCTCTTGGTCATGGTATTGATATTGTAAAGCTTTTGAATTTTTATGGCTATGAAAAAATGCTATCAATGCCATATTTTTCAGCTTGTAGATTTTCTGCCCCATACAAACGTTTTAAAAACATATAGCTGTTCTTTAAATGAAGATATGTCGATGATTGACAACTTCTCTATGTACATTTAACTTAAAAACCTCAATAAAAACTATTCAAAAAAACATAGCTGTTCCATATAATCATAAAGTGTGTTGATTAGTCAAGTAGTTGTAGACATCTTATTGTTGTACCTGTTTGTTTTATTTTGCTTTCCTTGAAATTAATGAAAGAACTTCTCACATTGCTCATTATCTCCTCTAAATGGTACTAATAAGTAATCCGCTATCTTGTGAGTTGTACCCCCTGCACTGGCTTCAGAAACAGGTATCACATGATTTTCCATTACTTCCATTGAGTCCTTTCTCCCTTCTTGTTTTCTTTCCTGTCCTGCCTTGCAGCTGAATGATTTTCAGTCTTTTCTTTTGAGTATTCCTACTTTTTCAAAGTTATTTGCTAATCCTACTCTTATTTTTTTCTTCTTGCTGCAGACATTGTCTTCTACCTGCTTTCTTTCCACCTCCAAAAAGTCCTCCCTTTCTTTAAAATGTTTAGCTCTGCAGATTAGTGGGAGAACATAATAGCATTTAGATTTATCTAAATAGCATACAGGTTTATTTAAATAAAGTACAGATTTTTTTTTAGGAAGAAGAAAAAAGCAGTGGACTCTGATCAGAGAAAGATTTACTTTTGCCTCCGGAAAAAAAGAGAGAGGGGATGAGTCAAAAGATCCAGACCAAGTGATGCTCATTTGATTGCATTTCAACAAGTCTCTCAGCAAGATTCAGAAATTTAATTGACTGCATGTCAGCACGCCTCTGATTAGCAACAGAAGTGTTACTCAGGGAAATACTGTTCGAGTAACAGTAATTCCAAGAGGTTGACTGGAATGTATTTGTTGCAACATCTGAAATTAAAAGCATCTCCATAGAAGAGACAAATGCAATGCATTCATGAGAAAAAGAAAAATAATCAAATGTCAAAGAAAGGGAATAGAATGGGAATATAATCATTGTAGGAAAGGGAAGGAGTCAAAAGAGAATTTAAGGGGGAAATTAGTGGCTGACTTGGTGAAAGAGAAGCATGGTAAGACAGATAAAGGTCTTATTATGGCTGAATCAAAGGGAATTCAGATATAAAAGGTGGGGCTAACTTGTAGAGTGTAAGGGATTGGCCTTCAGGAGCAGTACGTTCTCTTATGCATGTGTAAGAAATAGGGAATTGCTGTTTATGGCAGACAAGGACAGATATTTGTAGCATTCCTGTGTTGCCCAATGTACATATCAGACTTTCCTTTGCTACCTACATTCATTGTTTAGGAACACTCAGTTCCTGCTACAAGATTTTTCCCAAAAGTGACAGTTGACTTCAGGGGAAAGATCTGATGTAGACAGAGTGAAAATTTGGATTAAGGGGGAACTGGAAGCTATGCTGCCTCCTATTCAGTCTGTTATATGCATTGTATTCAACCGTCTGCAATCAGATAATTCAAAGAATAATTTTGTTACAGCACCAAATTTATTTTAATAGAAAAAAATTCCATCTGTATATATGAGTTCCCAAATGAATTTCTCACAATAAGTAAATGTAAATAGAAATATAATGAATTCATTTTTACAGTATAATTTTAATTAGAAAAAATGTAAGGGATGATTTCGTTAATGGAGTTTAGAGGATTCAAAGTCTATAGATGGCAGTATCATTGAAAGGAGGTAGGTAGGCTAAAACATGCCACTGAATCTAGAAAAAAACATAGAAGGAGGCAAGGATTATCTACAAAAGCCTTTACTTTTCTTAGTGATCTAGTGGTGAATCCAGAAGGCAGTAGTAGCAGTCACAGAAAATACAAGTGACTCAGGTTGCCATCTAAGCCTCTCTGTGCAATTTGCCTTCAAGCTGGATAAGCTCCAAGAAAAAAAAAACCCTTCAATTAGCATATAAATATAAAAGCATAGTGAAGATTGTTAACTTCTCCATTTTAAGTCATTTTTTTTTTACTTTTCCAAATCTGTCTAAATTTGGGTAAAAGATTGATGAATAAAAATTTTAACTAATAGCATCCTCTCTGTTTTGTCAAAAATGAAACTACTGTTTATATCTTTTCCTGCTTTGAAGGAGAAGATTGATCCAAGAGCTTAAAATACTTTTATTAATAATTGTAAGATGCTTCTTAACAACCCCAAAGCTAAGATAATCCTGAAATACGCAGGACTATAAGCACAAATTATCTCAAACAATTTATAATAGACTTGTTTTCTTCTGGTAACAATATAACTTATCATCAAGTTTGAATGGCAACAGTCTTGTTTTCTGCATTATCGGCTTCATGGTCAACATTATAATCAAACCCCTTTCTTTCATCCTACTTATGTCCTTCAAGGAATCTGACAAAAGCTTTCACCGTTGACATGTTAGACAACAGGCAATTTAATTATTTCCAAGCTTAGATTATATCCTTCTGAAAGCCAGAAGCAGATGCAAGTCAGAAAATGGTCTGAAATTAACAATACCTTTCTTTAATGCCGCAGACTTTGGCATTAACAATATAACTGATACTTTTTTGGGGGGGGGGGGGGATAGATTCTGTGATTTCAACCAAAGATTTATATGGTACTTATATGGTACATTCTATCTGTAGTTTAGTTTTTGGTCATAATGTATTGAAAGCAACAGTCCAGTGGAGAAGCAGCTACTCCCACCCAATCGTCTGATTGCTTTAGAATGTCCTACTGGCAATGGCTTGCTCTGCTACATCATCTAGAGTTCATTTTCAGAAGTGTAGAAGAGCAATCCATACCCATCCATGAAATGTAGCTGCAAAAACAGTGAATTTCAGTAACTGAGTGAAATAATGTTTTCAGCTCTCAGTTATTCTGTCTGCTCTCTACTCTGTACCACATTTATGTTTGGCTTCATTTTGAGCTCTTTTATGGCAAGGCAATGTAACTAAACTGAGAAGGGAGAGAGGAGTCAATGGAAATAACGGAAAATCATGTGACTGCTGCCTCTAAAGCTGGCACAAGAAATACAGCCCAATAGATAGTGGATTGCTTCTCTTCTGCTCCAAATATGCATTTTCACAGTGAGTACAAACATCTAATTCTGCAATCTTCCAATTGTTAAAGTAGCATTTCCTTCAGCTTGTACTGTTGACTATAGTGCGTGGGACCAAAACCAACAGCACTATCTTCTATATGATATTGTTTCAGGCACTAAAATAGATATTTGTCATGACTAAGTACAGGTTCATAGTTTGGGAGTGATCCTGGACTCATCACTAAGCCTGGAACCCCAGGTCTTGGCGGTGGCCAGGGGAGTTTTCACACAATTAAAACTTGTGCGCCAACTGCACCTGTATCTTGGGAGGTCGGACTTGGCCACAGTGGTCCACGCTTTGGTCACATCCCAAATAGATAATTGCCACACACTCTATGTGGGGTTGTCTTTGAAGACTGTTCAGAAGCTTCAACTAGTCCAACACTTGGCAACCAGGTTGCTTATGGGAGCAAGATATTGGAAGCACACAACACCCTTGCTACGCCAGCTCTACTGGCTGCCTATTAGCTTCCAAGCACAATTCAAAGTGCTGGCTTTAGCCTATATGGCCCTATATGTATCTCCCTCTACAAACCACCTAGGACATTAAGATGGTCTGGTGAGGCCCTGCTCTTGGTCTCTCCACCATCACAATTGGGTTTGGCGGGAATGAGAGACAGCCCCCCCCCCCCTCAGCTGTGGAATTCTTTCCTCAACAAGATCAGATCTGCTCCATCACTTCTGACCTTCCGAAAGAAATTGAAATCCTGGCTGTGGCATCAAGCGTTCGCAGGATAGACTGACTTGCTGGCAAAGATACTGTTTTACTGGATTATGAGGGACTGTTTTTAGGATGATGACTTAAATCAGCAAACTGTTTTTTAATGTATTTTTATATCTGTTTTATTATAATATGTGTATTTATGCTTGTTTTACTTTGTTGTTGGCACTGTGCTGTGCTGGTTGGTAGCCGCCCTGAGTCCCTCTGTGGAGGTCGAGATAGGACGAGATACAAATGTCCTAATTAATTAATTAATTAATTAATAAAGATTAGAACTGTGTTTTGTTACATAGCTGCTAATCTGACATTTTATTAAGTACATCATGAAAAAATAAAATCACATTCCCTATGAAAGTATTTGAACTTGAAATGCACTTCCACATTAGAATAGGTTTGTCTGTTAATAAACATAACTAGGAATAAATAAATAATTTGAGGTAGAAATGTGTGTTTCTATTGCCCTAATTCAGTAAAAAAAGTTTTACCGCACTAATAAGAAAAACAGTGTTTATTGTGGTGTGTTTTGTTCTGTATTTCTGTATGTTTCTTGTGGCTTTAACAGAAGCTTCTAGGCAATATTTTTCTATTTTTGCCACTACCTTAAAGTATATATTGCAAAGTATATCTTTAAAATTTGTAAGGATAATAATAATTTAAAAAACCACTTTGTTGGCTTATAGTGTAGGCTGTAGATAGGCCCAGCATAGTGTATGCACAGTGTCTTTGGGGATCAAGAAACATGAGCGAGAATGCATCTCATAGAAGGCAAAAATGTCAATGTAATATTTCAGTGGCAATGCTTCACAGTTTATATTTTGCTAAGTGTCACTTCATAATCTTCTTTTACATTCTGTTTTTTCACAAAATACATTATCATCTTGGAAAAAAAATATTTCTATTTTGTGGCACTTTTTTGGTCGCTCCTGTCTGCATTATGGTGATAGTGATGATCCTTATCATCATCATTTTTAAAGATGTCAAAGTTGGGATTTCAGTCCAAGCTGTAACATTAAAATTGGAATGTCTATTGGAATCTGCATCGTGGGGATTTGTGGTTTGGTGAGGCACTAGCATTCTTTGACAGAAAGAGCAAAAGCCCTTGTAAAACTACAACTCCCATGTTTCCAAAACATTGAGCCATGACAGTTAAAGTGGTGTCATAGTACATTAATTCTACAGTATACATGCACCTAAAATGTTTAACATTTCAGCCAGATGTTAGACTTTCCTGTTGGAATTTCAAGTGTGCCAATTCATTCTGTCCTGCTCCTTCACTCTATACTTTCATTTCAATTGACACTTGACATTCAATAGATACATGTGGTCACTAAACTTGGTCAGTCTTCATTGTATCTCCATACACTTAATATGATTTTACTCAAGGTCTCATAGTAGAAGTCTGATTTCTATTTACTTCCCCATTCACCAACCCATTTCTTCATATAGATGCTCACTCAGTTTGATACGAGTACAAGTTTTTATATTTCTGTATAAACATCAGTACTTCTAAGAATTTGTGAAGTTTGTTGAAGGAAATATCTTATTCTTCCCCCATTTATCTTCTTAACCAATAGACTCTGAAATCCCTGGTTTTGTTATTGGAGAATGGTTATGGAGTGATGGTGGTGGTAAAAACTGCTGTGGACTGGAAGGAATCTTAGTGACTGTTTCCTAACTGTACCATTTATCATCTGTTTTGATTAGGGATTCTACTAGTTTATAGAGGTGTGTTGATAAAACTTATTTAGAATTAGCAGTAATTCACACTAATTAGGATATTTTGTGCTTTGGTGGCATTTGTTCAGGTTGATTGGTCAAAAATTTTAATTCTGTGCAATAAAAGTGAATTGATTTGGTTTTGAAGAATGACTAATTTGTTTGCACATGGTTAGTGTTATACCTAACAGTAGTCTTTCATTGTCAGTGTTTATTTTCATTTTGGATCATGGAAAGAAAGATATACTTAAGCCAAACATAGTAATTTTGATAGTACAAAGTAGCTAGCCTGTGTTGATATCAGTATGAGCTACATTAATCCAGCACAACTTTTGGAACTTTACTGTCTGTTGCTGTCCTTTGTGCTTTCCAAAAACCAACTTTGGTGTTTGTTTTTTTAAAGCTCTTCAGCATATGTTTTGGATATGCCCCAGTGACTGCAGTGTGGAAGGAGAAGATCATTCTTCTTCTAGTTCTTCTGGATTATAGTTTCCCACCAGTGGTAGTCCACTGTTAGACCCTGCCCAATACATTTATGCCCAAGATTAGAGTAGCATTTTTCCTTTCTTTGAGAAGGATGAATGAAAACCAGAGGACTAACCACGTACAGTGTTTGTGAACTTGTCCTTTTCTGTCTGACTTTGTTATATGAAGTGACGTTATATGTTTAGATCCCCCTAAATTCTTTGGAGTTGATTGGAAGTTGGTGTCCTTGGATTAATGTAAAGATCCCTCATTATTTTGATGATTTTATTAAAAAAAAACCTAATACCATATTTTGTAACATTGAGCCGAGTAATCACCAGGCTGTTGTTGTAGAGCTCTCTAGTGTAGCATTGTTTAAGTAAATTATTTGAATTGTTGATTTAAAGTATTTTTAAACCAGCTTTCACACAGATGTAGCATTATTAATGTACCCATGTATCTTCATAATACCTCTCCCCCAGCAATTTATTAGAATCATAACAACATGGGAAGTTTGTTTTTATGGAAGAAATGTATCTCATCTGTGTTCAAATTAATTTGTGATTTTTGTGTGAATTTGGTGTAATTTTTGCCACATCCAAATTGTATCTTTGACTGATTTTAGTTCCTGTGATTTGTTTTCCCCTTTCCCCATTAGGGAGTTAAGTTGGTTAAAATGTGTTTTGAGGTTGGATAACTTCTCTTGTGCATTTCTTGCTCTATTCATAAAAATCTTATTTTTCATACTTATTTTCATACATTGTTCATCTGTTAGCTTTCCTTTTTCATTATTAATTTTGCAATCTCAGCATTTTTATCTAATTTAACATTTTCATATTTTTAAAGGTCCCCAGGTGCATCCAATTTTTCAACTTTACCAAAGATCTCTCCATCTCTATCAAATAATTATAACAACATCAACAACAGAAAGTAAGCAACACATCTTAAAGAACTTACAGTTTTAATCATCCAAGTATAATTTCAAAAGAAGATTGTTTATAGTTCTCGGTAAATAACTTGGATGGATTGTATTACTGTGCAAATGCAGTGATGCCAAGACTTAAAGGTCATCAAGACTAGAAGGTGTTAAGAGAGAAATTAATAGAGAAAAGCTGTTCTTGCTTCAGAACCTTGATACTGTAGCAACATAGTATATAGTATCCCCCTTGGATCTGATCCTAATTGATTAAGGCTATCCTTAGATAGGACTTCGTATTCACCACCAGAAATTTCTGTAACCTCAGCAAATATTGTGTTTCACCAAGTAAAGTAATAGCCCAGTAGATTACATTATTCTCATCATCTCATTCTTTGATGAAGATGTATGTTTCCTGAACAAAGATGTAGCATAACAAAACTCTACTAAAATTTTGACAATCATCAAGTAAACCTGCTAAGTTAGAATACATATAACTGCAGATACACTGCATTTTTTCAGTCTTCTACACATATTGAAGTATCTATTAAATAGTACACAATTACGATTTCTTATCATTAGCTGGAAAAATAATTGGAGTTACAAATTTATATTCTCTTTACAGTCTTAAATTAAATGCCTGTGAATCAAATGTCAAAATGCTGTAGTATATAACATAATATATCTAAATATTTTATACAGTATCTTCCAGTTAAATACTGCATTTATGAGAAGGGAGTTTTCGTAAGGGGTGAAGTGGCAGTTATGCTTCTACTAATTGTGAGTAGCCCCAACTCTCTCAGTTAAGCAAATACATGTATTTAACTGTAGTCTATTGTACGGTGTGTATATGTATAGTAAATACAGCAGTTATATTTTGGTGTGCATAAACAACTTAATCACAATCTAAATGGATATTATCCTTGTATTATAATACTGATAGCCTATATCAAATGAAAAATTACATAATAACATCTGAAACAATGGGGCAGTTACTGCCTCCTTAAAAATGGAAAGTGCCCTGGGCTTATATTTTAAAGGAGCGGCTACACTTCAGTATCATTGAACTATAAAACAGCTTTCAGAAGGCACTTTTTTCTCTTTTAGAAGTTGCATTTTTAGAAGAAGAGGCTTTGGGGTTTGCTTCTTAATTCAACTTAATTTAAAACTCAAGGGTTTTCATGGACTTGTATTTATATCTAAAGCTATTAAGCTTTTAAAAAGCATTTAGAAACTATAGATTGTTTTCTATAGTTTTCTCTCCACTAATTAGTAATGAAAACATTTTTCACTATTGCACACTGAATTTTCAAAAGTGTTGGGAAGCATAGTCCCAGGCACTTGAGTTCTACACATAAGGTTTCTCTTGCCACTTGTAACTACAGCTCTTTTTTGGGTTGTTGCAAGTTTTCCAGGCTGTATGGCCATGTTCCAGAAGCATTCTCTCCTGACATTTTGCCGACATCTGTGGCAGGCATCCTCAGAGGCTCTTTTTGTTATGTTGAAGGTGCCCACATCCATCTTCTGACTTGTAGGGCCCCATTTTTGGATTTACGTAATGAAGGAGAATTGATAAGCAGTACGCAATCTGATGTGAACACAACTCTCATGAGCTGCCTACTGTTCTGCCTTGGTACAGTGAACAATATGTATTCTTCTCCCTGGATTTGTAGGATTTAAAATGTTCCAAAGATAATCTAGACTGCAATTCTCTACCCACTTAACTGAGATGTGGCCCAATTCAAATCAGTGGCACTAGTTTTACCTAGACATGTATTAGCTTGCACTGTTACTATCTTACAATAACACAAGACATTTGATGTG